AGTTATTTTGGATAAAAAAATATTGCTAAAACTTATTATAAAACTACAAGAAACGAAAATACATAAATTAAATCTGGAGAACAATCAAAAATGTATCATGATTAACCAACGTAACAAATCCAAAACTGTAAGATAATCATGGTATACTAGTGGATTAATGTTATCTTTAACTTAATTTAAGTTATAAAGCTTTTATTTATATGACAATAAAGGTTATATTTGAATAGACTTTGCAGATCTGTTTAAGTGTAAGAAGTCTTTAGGACCCGCTTTAGATATCGTGTAGCTGGAAGGCTCTTAAGACGCAACGAGCAATAACAACCAAATTAACAGTACAGAGAAAATTGAAATATTTACGTATTTTCGGTTAACATTTGAGTAGTTATTTTCTTTTGTTGTAACGATGAGGATATCACAATATAGTTCTTTTTTAAAATAATATTTACTTACATTTATAATGTAGATATGTTTGTTTCAAAAGAGATGTTCTAATTTACAAAGCCTTCTATAATCTATGTGTATGTACAATCAACAATGTGATTATATAAAAATAACGTAATATGTGAGTATTTTAAAGACGAAATTTCATTTACATCGGTACGTTAGAAAATCAGACAGAAATATTTGTCATTTTTATACACAAAAATGCACAAATATCTTTGTCTTTTCATTTTAAAGTCTCATTAACTGTTTATCATTATATGGAAAAATTTATGTATGTATATTATTATGACAAACTTTCCAAACTTTGCCTTTTACCTAACCTATATGTATATAACTATAGTGCAAAGTTAACAACTGCGGACCAAATTGAATCAATTTGGTTAACGGTTCATAATTTTGCGACCACCAACGTCCAGCCTATTCCGGCATCAAGCCAAGCTTTAAACTTTATTTACATCTTTATATTTTGACTGGACCACCACTTGACAACCAAACATAAAATAGCTTCGGTAAAGTTACGAAAATTCATGAAGTGAATTTTATATTTATAATTAAACTAGCTTTTGAATAAATCGTACATTATCACAATACTTTTATTAAATACAAACTACTGATTTCAATCACATATTGAACTAAATTTAATTGATCCATGAGTGATTTTTTCTTTATTTGGCTTACCCTCATTTATTATAAATAAATTTCAACAAAAAATATATTGGTTTTAACAAAACATTTTCGTCTTAAATAAAAAAAAATGTCTTGATATCTTCATTTGAACAAAAGATTTTACGACTGTTGCAGACACTTATCACAACAGATAGAAATAGTATTCATTTAGCTTAAAATAAGTTAGTCAAGTTTTTTATTTTATTCTACCCATAATAGTTTTGTGATTTCTCTCTAATAATAATGAGAAAGAAAATAAACACATACCTTATATTTATATGTTAAGTATATATTCGTGTGTATATTCGCATTGTGTTATATATTTATTAAAAATAAAAATCTCTGTCTAAATATTTTTGATGAACCAACATTAATACTACGCTAGTAGTACCTTAGAATTAAATCCTTTATTAATAATAATAGGGATTAGACTTAAGCCAGTTGTTAAAGACTTTTAATTACATCGGTGGCAGAGAAATCACGAAAAATGCGTTAGACTTTCCTTAATAAAATTAATTTTTGATTAAAAAAAAACATCACTGCAAAAACATTTTTATTGCATCAAATAAACGAGCTCAAAATTTAGCATTAACTTAAAAGCCACGCAAGGGATACTGAATAAATAAGCAGGAAAACCTCAATCTTTTACATGATACGATTTTTTGTCGTATCTATTTTCCAAATTAGATTACAATTTCTGTTTTTCATTGTAAATTCAATAAAATAAAGAACACGTGTTACAAAATTTTAACACATTAACTATTTAGATTATGAACATAATGTAAATAATAAATTTAGATCTTTAACGCTTTTTAGCGCCATCCGATGAACTGGTTAGTGTAAATTTTACATTTTATTAGAAAAACCGCACTCGCGAACGTGACTTTACATGATTTTACCGCCATCTAAATTTTGTAAGATCTAATGGCGTCCCAGAAAATTAAATATAATCTGTAATAATTTTAAAAAGTTAAATTTTATTTTAATAAAGAAAACATTAATTTTAACATTTAATTAACTTTAAATATAGAGTAAAACTTTCTTTTTATTTCGCAGGATACTCTTTCACTGTGATTGCATAATATTTATTCTTTTAATGTTTACTTTCTTAATATATTTTATGTTATTGGTTGTTCTAACTTCTAACCGTTCGTGCCTTTTTATTCCAAATACTATCATAATTTGGCATTTGGATTACCCATTGGCAGTGATGATTGCAAATAAGCAGATCAACCATATGTGTATAACCAGGAATTAATGATACAGTTTCTAGTTACTATAAAATTATTTCTTTTTAATACATTCTTATAGGTTGAAATATGCCTTACTTGAAACAAATTTCAATAGGTACAGGAAACGGTCTTTCGGTATTTTACGAGTTTAATCAAGACATTCTTCCCCTAAATTAAATTACTTAAAGTTTACAGAATTTATTGGTTCTTTACTTATTCAAATCTATTTAAGCTCATTTCGACTTAGATACTTAATATTCTAACAACTTATAGTAACACATATATCCTTCTAGATTACAATGTAATTTCTGTGTCATTAAATTTAATTTTTTATATTTAGTTATTTATTTGTAAATGTGTTTAACTTTAATTCTCAAGTTTATTTTAACGTCATAGCAAAAGTAATTCAAAAATGCGGCTAAGGCTTGCACGTTTTAATTTTCATTTAAGTATGCAAATGCCGTTTTGATTGTACATACTTAAAGAGAAACAATTTAATTTCTGAATTATTTTCTTTTAACTGTAATTGTTACTGTTTAATATTAATTGTAAAAGGGAATACTAAGTATTTTATGATTAACGAGAAATGCTACAAACAAAGCAATTATTCACAACGACATTACCTCATGATACATTTGAAAATGAGGCTTAAATTCTGTAAAAATATATATTTTTTAACTATAACCGATATACATTATTCACGGCGTAATATTTTACTTTATTCTGAACAATGGATATATCTAACGTATACCCTGTTAAAAATGACATCTACGATAATTTGATTATTATAATGTCGGTCCCCTAAAAACCTTTTTATCCTCCATTATACTACTAAATAGAAAAGTTTCAATAAACTTTTTCAAGTTAACGAAATTCTTTTCATCTAATGGCCATCCAAATCGAACACACTTATCCTTGGGTCTAGTCTTGCCTTAAAATAGTTTGTAAACTATGTATTCAGAATTTCTGAAATACACTTCGAGGGCTTTTTGTTATATTTTTATTTATACGAATGAAAATAATAAAAAATAATGTAACGGTTACTTTTCTATTGGTTTCTAAGACTAGCTTCAAAAGCAAATAATCATTGTTTTCGTTTCAGGTGGTATAAAAATATGTAAGAATTTCTTCAATAGAGAAAAAACTCAAATAGTTTAGTGAGAAAAAGCAATATGACCATTTATTTATGGACCTGGCCTTAGGACTATTAAGGGGTAAAGATAAAAAAAAATTCAATGGTGTCGAATATTCAACGTCGGACATGAGATCAATATATTGTTTTACTTAAAATAATGACGTTTTTGTCGAGATCAAAACTTATGTCTCTATTTTTATTATTAAAATATATACTTGGGACCCTCAAGCGCGACAGATTTCTAAACAATCAACTTGGGAGTCTCGATCGTCATGAATCATAATAATTTAAAATTTATATGGGGTATTTATTGCTCTGACTATTAAAAGAAAACTCAACATTTTTTTGTATCTTCATTTTATTACTAGAAATAATAAAAGAGTACTTACGTTTAAGAATATAATTTGTGTGCATAAGTAAGATAAAAATAAAATCAGAAAGAAGAAAATAAGGAAATAATAAAAATATATAAAAAGTTATCGGCATATGCATGTTTCATCTTTTATTGGTGTTATTAGCTAGAGAACCCCATAAAAATTTGATAATATGTATTTTACTTAATTCTGGCAAGAGCCCTTTCAAAATAAAAAAGGGTTTAAGCATTTTGATGTGAGGTTTTTTACAACTCTGTGTCTCCCCTATTTCCTTACGTCATGCTCGAATTGTTATATTGTAGAATTACGAGTATATACTTTTCTTCAGGTACTCAATGTTCAGTCACAAAAAATACATATTAATTTATATAATTCTATGTAATAATGATATAATGAATTAATTAGTAGATATTATATCTTTATTTATATAAATGTGTTCCAAAGAATAAAAAACATTTTTAATAAAAATATAAGTCCCAAAACTGGAGCTGATGGTGGACTTCTTTCATGATATCTTCCTGTAACTTTTAATGTAAAAGGTTTCAAACAATGTCTAAACTTATAAAATTACGCTTATTTGTTTGTTTTTTATTACGCTTTTATCTTCTTTTGCTATTCAATACACGAAGTCATTTTCTAAGTAGTTATAATGTAGTGCGAAATGAATACGTTTCATTTCTAATGGTATAATATTTTATTAGAATCGTCTTGTAAATATTGTATGATATATGTATGTATAATCGATAACAAAGTCACCTTTCTGCATCAGTATCTAAACACAAAAGAAATATTGAGGCTATGTTGTTTATTTTTTTTAAGTGATACTAATTAATATTTGAAAGAAAGGTATATGGATGCAACAAAAGTATATGTACGGCTTTCGACTCTACTCAAATTTTAAATGCGAAAGTTTGTGAAGACTTACTTATGTTTCGATGGTATGGTCTAAAATCTAAAAATTATTAAACAGATTTTTACTGAAACTCCAAAAATTGTGCCGATGAATTTGCGAACAAAAATAGTGTTACGTTATATGTTATAACGAAGCTTAAGAAGTTGTTATTTACCTATATTTGTCAGACTATATGTTTTTTTAATAAAAGTAAAAATATTAAAGTTATTTACTTTTTATTAACAATTAGGTTTTTTTTATAAAGTTGTAACGTCAGTGTCGCTCGCCTTCTCTGTCTTTTTAATGTTCTTTTCATTCGTTCTGGCGAAGCCCTGGGAGGATGTTGCCAATCCGGACATCTGGAATTTGAAATGTATGATTATTTTACTGCCAGTACAGGATTCAGGTATTATCTATATTAATAATTTAAAAATATCAGTGATTTCTTATTTCAATCAACACGATAAATAAAATAAAGATGTGTTTTAATATTGTCTATTGCCAATGCCTATGCCTATCAGCCTATCAGAGCCCACTGCTGAGCAAGGCCTCTTTCTCACATGGAGAAGGTTTGAGCATTGATCACCACGCTTGCTCAAGACGGGTTGGTGATTTCAAACTTATAATTGTGAAACCATAAGTCCAGGTTTCCTCACGATGTTTTCATTCACCATCTTTCAGTTATGTCTAAATACTCTTAGAAAGTACATATGACTCCGAAAAATCACATTGGTACTTGCCAAGGTTTGAACCCGCGCCCTCGGCAACGAGAGGCGGGCCCCTTAACCACTAGGCCACCACTGATTTAAATATTGTCATTATCATCAAATTAACAATTGTTATAAAAAAAATATATACCGTAAATTACCATTTAAGTCATGTTTAAACTTACTTTTCAATGTCCGGTAATCTCTCTCCCTTACACCGACTTTCCCATTTAGTCCAATACTTGAATCCCTCGTCTTCAAATATTTTGTATGCGCACGCGCAGTCGTCTCTTATATCATCATCGAGTAGGGCTGTAAAGTCACCATTACAGTTGAAATAATTAGATATTTTCTTTATTTGAATGTTTTCTTGAATTCCATTGGTTCTATATGCTTATCGTTCATAAATTCCCAAGCAGAATAAAAGACAGATAAAACCAAATTTTAATTTTAGCTGTTTCTTATGCCACTATAATTGAACAAATCTTTGACTTTTTATTTTTCAAATATGGTAAAACTGGAAAATATATTTATTTTTTAGACACCAATGAAATTTTCTTTTCACTGTATCGATCTTTAAAATTTTATCAGTTTCATTTTTTCCCTCATGATCCATTTAAAAAAATATATGATAAATAATATTTTTTACATTAAAAATTATTTTTATTGCATCATGTTGTAACTCATAATTGTAAATATATCTCTTTATAGTTTCTAGGTATCGTTAGTTTTTAAGCATTGTCATTGAAATAAATTAATTATATATGGTCTCTTATCGTTTATATCAATATTTACATACATTATTCTATATATTAATTAAAACTTACACTCGCAGGCGATGTCACATTTACCACCTTTTTTACCCTCCTTACACCATTCGCTCCCTATCTGAAAATATAAAACTGATCGTTGGTTTTAAAATATTTCTTTCTTTATAAGATTTGTAGATAAAAATATTGCATATTATCTGAATTATGAATGTCAGTAGACAATACAAAAATACACTTCAAGGACATGCAATTAATACCTCTTAATTATGCTATTTAATATGTGTCATCCCACGTATTACATGATTCGACTGTTTGTTTCACGGACTGGTTCATTAATTCACCAGATCTTATTCACTCTAATATTTACCTTCATAAAATTATAACAACAATGTTTCTTGATATATTTTTCTAATACATTCTTGCATTTCTATCGGAATAATAGTTTGATACTTTGTGACTCTTATCTCAGAAGTATTCATGTTTAAGTTGTTTTTATTTACATTTTTTTTCTTTATAGAACAAATTATCGATGAAGGCCATCAAACATCGAGATTCAATAACTAGTTGGACTAGACACGCAAACTTATGTTTTTCATTTAACAATATGTACACATTACATAGGTGGTTAAAGTTTTTTTCTATTGATCATTTTACTCCGAAAATAAATTTATGTAAGCCGTATCGATATATTAAAATAGTTTGACCAGATATTTTGTGCCACATCAATTTGGATTTAGGGACTCTTATTAGTCAAGTCAATTACCAGATTATTAAAATACTTAAATGTGACGTGACTTATATATTGAAAAAATATCATTACTATTTGTTTGTTTATCAAGAAACTTGGTCATACCACTGAAGTGGGATACCGTAAATTATATGTTTTCACTTTATTTGAACTCTTACCTGAAACAAGCCGTAATATTGCTTTCTTGGCGTTTTGACAACATGAGCTGATGTGTTTCTGTGACAGCACTTTCTTGTTCTATCAGACATACCCCTGGAAAATATTGTAAAAAGAATTCAAAATGTATCGCAAGGTCTATGAATGTCTTTTTTGTTTTTATAAAACAACATTGTCAACAGTATTTCTACAATGTTGATCTTTTATCATGATTTTATAAAGGTCAGTATAACCACGAGTTTTTAAAAAACAAACTTCCTTTTTGATACAAACATTACATTCAAACTCCTACGGTGAGCCTTCTTTGAGACCTTCAAAGGCTTCATAACAAATATAGTTCTTCATAGCAAACGACGGAAATTTAATAACATTTTTAAACCATTTAGTCCTTTATTTATCAATTTCTTTGTAATTAGTAGGAGATAACATTAAACACTATTACAAAGGCATTTAGTTTGTGAACTCGTTAATGAAATTGTAAATATTGATTCTAACCTCATAATCATTGCGATAAATCAAACAAATTTATTATTTATTAAATTACCATATTATCTCTGGCTAGTAATAAATATGTGAATAAATCCCATTCAAAGTGACGCGTTACAGTAATTATAATACAATAGTCCATAAAAATTCATGGGACCTTGAAAAAAACCAACTCACAGTTACTAAGGAAAGTCTTTTGATGGAAATGATTTTTCAACAGCTCCCGCGTCAATTGGCATCGTGTGAATACCTTACTATTAACAAAGGTTGATGACAACAATATAAACATAACAACACACACACGGCGTTCCGCCATGACACACTGATAACGACTGAGCTATTTGTTTCTCATTTAAATGCGCCGGCGCAACTATTGGACATTTCGGGGAAATTACCAACATTAAATTTTTTCCATGTGTAATTCTCTTATAACAAGTTAATTACACTTTGAACTTTAATTAATCTGTAATAAGTTACTTATATATACATACATAGGAACATATCTAAATTAAATCAAAGTTCCATGAAAATCAACGTTAAATACGAATCATAAAATAAAAAATAACAGATTTACAACCAAACATAACTAATAGAATAACATAAATAAAATAATAAAAAAACAAACACTATATATTCGTTAATGTTTTATTAAAAATGCATTTTATAAATTATTATTTACATTTATAAACTAATTAAAGCGGAACCAAAGTTCATCATACATTTACAAACGTAGCGAAAAAATGTTACAATAATTACAAACGAACAGACAAGTTGTTAATCACTTAAATAAATGTAAATACATCTATCTATTAATGACTCTCCTAAAGTAATTATAACCTAGATAAACAAAGTTTTAGATCTCATTGCCTCATTGTAAAACATAGCTTATTAAATTAACCACATGATAATCCAACTAAATTATGTAATTATAATGGCCAAATAAACTCACTGTTGACACACGACTGTACATAACAGCTTTAAAGAGTAAATATGTTCAGGGAAACAAAATCCGATTTATTTATTAATGTAAATAAATACGTACCGATTTATTTATAATCTCATATTTACTGTCAAAACAGTGTGTACATATTGATAGAATATTAAGTATATGAAAATACTATACATTTTATCAATACACGTACTTACAAAATATTCAATTTAAAACAGTAATAATTCAACACTTATACCAAATAATATGTTAAAAATTGCACTTATATATTTATGTGCCATTGAATTGCTCTTAATTAATATTCATTAAAATCTTACATAAGCCTCGAGTTAACGTGTCTATTATAGGAAATATATATAAAATAGTTGTTATTGAAAATATTACATGTTCAATTAATTTTACTGGCAATGACATTATTGTAATAATATAAAGCTTACATCTCTAATTTATTGCCAAAACATTCTGCGAAAGATTAGCATCTTTATCGTTTCCTTTTTAATATTGACCTTTAGCTTGAATTGATAATTTTTATTGTTTAAAACATATACAGAGTCTAATAATGTTTTAATAAATATAAGACAATTATTGTTAGAATTTACGAAATAGATTAACAAAATATTTTTTTTCATTCATATTTTGTTATAAGGATTAATTTACTATTATTATACACATTCAAATAATTGTTCTTTAGCAGAGAAATAGATAAAATGAAAAATATATATTTTAATCTTTACAAATTAATAAACTAGATAAAATAAATTATCTAAGACATTTACGAGAAAGGACAAGATAAGAATCGCAAGCAGGTTTTATTTAGAGCTATTTCCATTATTTGCCCTTACAGACATTTGTGGGTCGAAATCCTCTAATTGAAATAGTTTTTCTGATAAAATATTGAGATTATTATATCTGGGTATGGAACAACCCAGGATCGTTAACTAGTGCTATAGTGTTGTATCACTGACAACAAATTTAAACCACATGTTTTTTTTGACTGGTTAATATAAATAAGCCACATTTTATAAAGTCTTGAAAACCTCCTAATGACATGTCATTATACAAATTTATCAGACTATCTGTGCGTTAATTATATTTCAAATTTTATAGACGATTTAAAAACAAATCTTATCTGTACATTTATTTATAATTTATAATTACAAATACATATAATTTATACGATATTTTTTTTATAAAGGCCTTATAAAGTTTTGACCAAAATTTTCAATATTAATTAATTATTGTCTCCTTTAACCCAAAATATAAAAATACTTTACAAGACTTTTAAAATAGAAGATTCGAAATTTCTGTGTGAAGTTAATGAGACGATTTAAAAATAAATTGAGGCCTCAAGTGTGTTTGACACGATTCTTAAAATTGTTATTTTTTAGCGACTAGTTACGATAAACGAAGTAATCTATAAAAATAACAAAAAGATTATCAGACTATATTAAACTAGATTTAAATATATTCCAAAATAAAAACGCAGTGAATAACAATTTACTCATAACCCTTCTGTCATTATAACAATTAAATTATCTAAAACCGTAATGTAATAATTCAGTTGTTTTTATATATGGCTCAATAAAACCACTTATTATTTGAAAAGACACTAAAAAATTACAGGACTTGAAATGTCTTAATTCATACTTTAGATGTAGCTGTAGTTGTCAACATTACATAACTAGCTCTTGTATTTTCCTCTGCAACTGGCTCAGGCCTGAAACATCTGTGGGTTTGAAATTCAGCAGGTTTTTTCAACATCTTTCTAACAAACCATACAAGAGCTATAACAATAATCATAAGTCCTAAAGCAAGTCCTACTAGGGCCGTGTTTAGATTTTTAAGTCCGGTCTTCATTTGTAATGATCCAACTGGTTCTAAAAGTTGTGGGACAATGCAAATTTTATGTACACTGTCAGTTTTTAACTTCGAAATGGTTGCGCATACTTCATATGGACCTCTTATAAAGCCTTCCATTGTTACTTCCAAGGTATCCTGACACGGCGTATCTTTTTGGGCCACTAAGGACCCTCTATCCAGAACTGCTAATATTACATAGCAATTGTGTAGATATCTGTCGGGCATTGACACTCTCTGGGATCTTGGTAAAACGTATTGGTTCGGAGGCGGTATTCCCAAAACGGATATTAGGACAGTTAGCAATCCATCGCTGGTAATGTTGGATCGTACTTCGGAGACTCTGTAACAAAGCAAACTTTATAATAATCAATAACAGTACAACAATTTTGTATCAAATCAATATATTACAAAATATTTTTTTAGCAATTATAACATCTATAAACTCCTTCTTTTGTATTATAGGTTTAATTTAAGTAATATTATTACCTTATAGGTTCTAACATGGGTACAGTAATGGGTTCAGAGCGTACTGTGATGTACTCAACTCGTTGTCTGACCAAAGATGGCATTCCACAACCCAAAACTAAGGCTATGGGCATATCTTTGGTATCCATTTCTTCTAAAGCGACACAAAACCTGTTTAAAGAAAATCATAACAATTTTTTATTAGCTTGCTCACAGCTTCAATTTTTCTATAACTGAATGATATAATAATATATCTTAAATTATTTGGTGACTGAGATAATATTTAAAATCAAATCAAAGTAAAATATGTAACATTTTAGGAGTATAAAAAAACTATTTTTATAGATTTTAAAAAACAAGATTGTTTTCATATTGTTACTTTGATAATATTACTGTAAAATTGTTAGGCGGTCGAAGAACTTATTCAGTTGTAAAAAAGGTTTTTCTGTTGTCGTAGAAAAGCCTTATAGATTAGAGCTTAGCGCCAACCATCCGCTAAAAAACTATTGCTTTATTCTGTTGGCTAAATGTAACTGTTTCATAAAGTTATTGTTATTTTCAGAAGAAAAATATGTTGTTTCGACTTTCGACTCTTCGACAATTGTGTTATGTAAAATAAAATCATGTAACCAAAAATAAATGAAAACAAGTTGACCTAAAAATTAACAAACATATCAAAAACAGACAAACCTCTGTATCTTTCGTTAAAAGTTTTTATTAAAATTCCCAATTTATAACCTTGGAATATTTCGTATAGCTAATTTTATTTCTGATAATTAATTAATTTAAATTGTACATACGTAAGATGTACATACACATGATGTTAACAAATATATGTAATTTTACACTTTCTTTTATAATTTTTGCACCCACAAGATATATGGAAGTAAAATAAAAAAAAAATCTAACATTATGTAACTTACACATGCTTATGTAGGTATATTATTAGTATCGTAATGCGAAGAGAGCCAATATATCACAAGGGTTATCATTGTAATTACTGACTTCCTATTAAATATATTACAATATATGTATAGTATACGTTACGGATTTTGATGTGCTAATATTGCATGGAAGATTTTATTAGTTAATCACTGATTAATTATTTACTAAATGTCACCAAAATACCATAATATTGATAAGAATAATATAAAAAGATAAATCATAAAACATGTTTGTCATATAATACTATTAAAATTTTATCCTACATTTCTGTATTTATACTTACGTATACTTTTCTAAGGGATCAATTTTAAAACCTCTTAACACGATATTAGCCGGTGGTGCTCTATGGCAGGCGATGTGCTTGGGAAGGCCACCAGCTTTGGAAGCTGTCACACCTGTGCAACGATATCGAAGAGTCGAGAGAGGCTCTATTGTCCAGGACAAATGTACTTCTTCATCATCATACCACGCATCCATTAAACGCACCTATGTAACAATAACTACAGGTATAAATCAAAACAAAATAAAATTCTTCAAAGCAAATATACTATTGTTATAAAAAAGTTAGACGTATTGCTATTGAATCACTGAAAACATACCAAAAGATAAATCACAAACAATTCGAATAAAACTATCCAATGAACAAAAACTTCGATGCATAACAATAACAAATAAATCCTAGAAATCCATAATGTATGTGAAGAAAATCAATGACATAGCCTTAACTTCATAAAATAATTCAGGGGAAAGACAAAAATGAAGGCTATTATTAAAGTTTTCCAACTATTGCAGTGAAGTAGAACCTCCACTAGCCAGGTAAAACCTCATCATAATATTATAATGTCATTGAATTTGAATATCATGCGAGAGGCGACATTTTTATTAATATTTTTCGTTTCTGCGTGGATGACAAAAAGAGTTTAATTAAGTATTCAAGTAACGTCTCCATAAATTTTATTTGAATTGCATGTATATATAATTTTTATATATTTATATGATGTGATTTGATTGCTTATTAAAATAAAACTAATTATCATAATTTGAATTTAAATCAGTTTAACTACCGTTGATTTAGATATCGGCAAATCTTCTTCCCCGGGAACCTCCAATTCTTCGTCATAAGCATCATCATCCAAACCATCAATTCTTTCACCATACAATAAATCATCAATTTTATCAACATCTATAGTATTATCATCTACTTTGTTATAATCATAGTTAGCTTGATCTATAGCTTTGTTCTCAACGTGGTCATCATCACATAGCTTGTTTTTAGATAGTCGGGAAATTAATGCTCCTTCCAAATGAGGTGGCGTGGCACAAACTGCGGCTGATTTATCAGATTGAGGCAGATTTTTTGCCTCCCGCAACCACCTCGCAAAGCCGGCCATTAAGCAATCGCAATTAAGTGGATTATCTGTAAAAGAGAACGAATTTATCTTTATGAGTTCGTGAGTATAAATGGTTTGGAATTAAAATTAACGACAATCAAACAATTGTTCTTTGTTACTTTTATTTCTTTTGTAATCGATGCAGTTATTCATTGTTTTCATGTCAATTTTAATAATATTAAGTACTTATACAGCTTTTATTAATTATGCAATGAAAAGAAATGTTTTAAACGAAAATGTAAACATAAAAACCAAGTTAAAAAAATAACTATTTTAATAAACGTCAGGAAATATTTTAATATTGCAGGTTATGTTCTTTTATCTAAAATATATCGTACGTGCAAAAATTTAATATATTTCACAAGGGTTGACTGCCATCGATATTCTTATATGCGGACCATAAATTACACGGCATCAAAATATTTTGCCCAGAAAGTGAAGGCGCATCATAAAATTATTTTCCCATAAAAGTCTCATAAAGGAATGGCCATGAACAGAAGAGTCATGCACAAAAGCGTCGGGTGGCATTTCGACAACCGAACAAAGAGTTTACTACGACGCCACACAAAACGTCTGACGCTAAACAATACCTAAAACTATACACACTGTCTGCACGAATAACAAATTATAATGTTATTTTTTACATTTCTACTTACTTCTAGTAAATTATTATCATTCCCTATCTAGCTTCCAAAAATGATGTACATTTCAATAATTATAGTATATTAGTTTTTCTTATGTCTAATACTTAATAAAATAAATAATTATGACTTTGCGTTATGTACTCGGATTTCGTAATATTTTATCAGGAATCCTACATTGTCGTGTGTGACAAGAAAACCACACGTCATCCTATCGCCATTACCTTCAACATTGGAGAGTCCTTGTATCTTCAATCATCGATATATATTATTGTTATAGATCAGAATATCTCTTATGATCCATGATGTGTAAAGGGTTAGGGTTCTAATGAAGAAAGTTACATGTTTGTCCCTAGCCATTCATATCACTTGTATTGAAGTTACGAGTATAGCCATACCTTCGATAGTGAATCTTCGCAAATCTTTGTGGAGTGTTAAGGCACCCTCTTCGATCATGGATATGTCGTTGTCATGAAGAAGAAGATTTGTTAAACGATTGAGAGCTTTGAGTGGGTCAGCCGACAATGACCGGAGGAAATTGTGAGACAAATCCAAATACGCCAAATTTGCCAATTGAGCTAATGAAGCACCTGTGAAATTTCAATAATGGAATTTATTTGTTTACGTACATTAATATTTTTAAATAAAAATGTACAGTTACAATTTTATAAATCTGCTTAATACTCGTACAAAAACAAATGAACAAATTAACTACCTTTATGCCAATTACGGAATTCAATTTAAAATAATTAAAATAACATACATTGACTGCATTTCATGTTATTTTCATTAAAAAATATAATTTACTTTACATTTCAAGTGAAAAGTTCTTAAACAAAAAGAACACCGCAAATAAATTCATATGCTTGTTTGAAATCTTTTCCTTTATTTCCAGAATTTCTACCTTTTTTTGTAACGGAAATTGAAACGTCAGTGAGTTCCATCGACAAAGAACTTTCCACAATAGACGCAATTCAGCGCCGGATCTAATCAAATTTAAGACATCTAATTCTACATCATAAATTTTAGAGTGATAAAATTTGTATTATTCTTAAATCTTTATTTAAGATTTTTATATATGTATAATTGTATAACAGTATAATATAAAATCATTCTCCAAACAATGTATTTATATATGCATCAATGTCATATCATAATTGATGGATAAAATAACAGTTTACTTATACTTAATAATTTCAATCACGTCAATCTGCGAGATTAAAAAAAGGTGATCACGATACAATTTAAAAGAATCATTCATCCATTTAATAATTGTTTTTGTGTATATAACATACTTCCAAATTATATATAAAATATATTAATAATTGATTTTTACAGTCATGTTATAAACTATTTTTATATCAAAGTATCTTTTAAATTAATTTAGCTGGTTTTGACGAATGAAAAATCTAAATTTATAATTGTGTTGTATATTGTAGAATCTTATATATAATAGTGTTTTCTTTTTTCAATATAACAATACAAATTTCTCTCCCACAAGTTAAACTCACTCACCAGAGACTGCTACGATTTCATTATGAGACAAATCCAAATGAGACAAGTTAGTTAAATGTTTAAACGCGTAATCCTCAAGCACATCTATTTGGTTGTTATGTAGATTCAACAGAGTCAAATTTGTAAGACCTGAAAAAAAATTATAACGAATTATAGGTATATTTGTTATAAAGTTAAGAACACACACACATGCACACAACACACATAGTAATGTAAATAAGATTGTAAACTAAATAATGACTACACTCAATGTATTCAAAATAAGGGGCTTAAACTAATTCTATTCAGAAACTTCCTTGTTTCATTAAACTTAGAACCGGTATTACTCAAATACGATGTTAACAAGTCACCTGCAAGAGCCCCACGTCGTATGCTCGCAAAAGTATTATCAGATAAATGAAGAGTCTCCAAATAGCTTAGTGAAGGCACTGTCGACGGACCTACAGGTCCTTCTAAGGCATTACTGGATACATCAAGTTCTTTTAACATGTTCGCTTCCTATAAAAATTATACATACCATATAAAACTTAAAATTCAAGACGTGGTATAAATATTTTATGAGTCGACCAGACGCAATTCACATATCTGTATTTTTTTTAATAAATTAAATATATACTTATGTATCACAAATATAATAAATATCTCTTATTGGTTCTAAGCTAGCGAACGCTATATGAAAATGTATTGTATCATTATCAGTATTGTGTAATGTTGATATCAATTTCATTCACTTTCTTCATTAAAATGAAACAAAGGAGAAGCTACAAAGGAACTATAATACAAGATACAGACTTCGTTCTTGACTGTAGCACAGAGAACTCATCCATTATTCAGTCACATACAGGTTAGATTAGCTCTAGACGCTATTTTGATCAGCAACTCTGCTGCAGGAGTTAGTATTAAATCATACAATGGCATATAGATTCAGTTCTAACAATGAATCGTACTGCAATTATGACTCTTCAACTTTGTTGTTTGTTTATAGTAGACGAAGTTATTAAACATTTAATTAAAAAAGTCTTATTATTTTTCTCAAACTTTATTATAATTATAAATTAATCAACTCGTATTTAATAATAATTTGCCACTACTTATAAAGCCATTTTTCTCCGAAATGAGCTAAGATTGTAACAAAAATGAAAGAGTTTAAAAAGAAAAAAATCAATGAAAAGTAAACCTTTCATACCTTTAAAGCTGTCAAAGCGGAGACTTTAAGTAGATTACCCCTCAACCTCAACACATTCAGTTTAATCAAAGGTTGAAAAGCACCATCAGCGATGCTTGTCAACTGGTTATCACTGATGTCAAGGTAAGTAAGATTATGTACGCCCTGGTAAAGGAAATTTAAAAATCGTTATTGATCATTATAAACATTAAATAACAACTAGATTAACTAGATGAGATTATTTGCATTGATAAATGGTCCTAGGATCGAACTGGTATTATAGGCTTATCGGGTGACTAGCTTCTGGACTTTGTAACTAGAGGTTTTTAGAGTGCCTTCAAACATAGCAAAAAAATAAACATTATTTAATTAAACATATATACCTTAAACGAATTCGCATCCAACGTGTGAATTTTATTATTTGAAAGATCCAAACGATCTAGATGTACCAAACGTACTAATGCTTCTGTCGGAACCAACGGCAATTGATTGTTTGGCAAACCTATATTAAGTGTACAAAAGAAATATACCTATATATTAAAATTACAATATTTTCTCTAACCAGCATCATGCTATAATTCATCGAAAGAATGTTTAAAATAAAGCATTAGACAAGAAAATTCCTTTCCGTTAAGATTTTTTAAAATTTATTGCACCTCAGGCAATATCATATTACTTTTACTTTAAGCTTATTTTTTTTTATAAATATCCATTAAATAATTAAAAACAAATTTTATCAAAATAAATATTATGTAAGTACATACATACGTACGTTTATTTTTTAATTAATACTATGAAAAATAATTAAATACAAACCCAATGCTAGTAAGGTTGATGATATGCTATTGAAAGCTCCAGACTGCACTCGTTTAATATCTCCAGATGATATAACCAGGCCGTGTAAACCAACTCCCGCCAGCTCAGATACAGACGCAGATGTCAAAGAAGACAAGCCTCGTAAAGCACAATCAAGCAGAGATACAGCTGTATTTTTGTTCCTAGCTCTCTGTTCTCTTAAGTGACGTCCAATTATCTGGAACAAAGACATTAGTTAAAAACATTTCTGTTCGTTTTGTGACAATAGTATCAACCACGGTAAATTCAGCTAAAGAACTTAAAACTTGGCGAATTAATATACAATGGTTTGTACTGGTAATTTATTTATATTTATATTTATATTTATATATATATATCTTAGGCAAGAAACAATGGTATCGATTTTACTTTGTGTTTATTATATTATGAAGGTCTGATGAATAATAAGAATAAAAATCCTTCCATTGACAAAATAAAATATATTTGACTATGTAAACTTTATGTTAGATAACAGGTCCATTCGAATGATGTTTTTATAAAAAAGGTCTAAAATTTATATAATTAAATAAAAAATATGCATTGAGCAATGTATTCCGAACATGCATTAAACAATAATTAATAATAGGTGTATGAAACATTATGGTCACATAACTATTTGCTTTGAGCACACTCTAATTATTAGATACTTACTTGTTATGCTGTAATTATGGCAGCGACATGCTTTCCAATTAGAGTTATATAATTATTTAGGATGATATGTATTATTGTGAAGCAAAATCACTGCCTAAGGTTTTCAATCTTCTTAAGAAAAGATTTTTTTGGATATATGATATTGAATAACTTTATAAATAACATTAAAGAAATTAGTTTTGAAGAGGGTCAGGACTGTTTCTATGAAGTTGATAAAACCAAGTCAGTATATACCGAACTTTTTCACGTCAGTTTTGCCATTGTTAAGATAATTTAAGCTGAAAAGTTTAACACAAATAACAACAGCTCGAACCTAGTTTAACAATGAAGGAATATAAATTGTGGTATTAACATTTAAATTAAAATGGACATGACCAAACAGTTTTTGAATCTAGTTAGAATAGTTCTTAGTAACTTTCGAGTTTAAGTACTTATAAATAGTGTAATATTGCAAATTTCAATTTAAACTGTGTTAAATGATCATTAAATACACAAGTGTATTATAATTATTTGGTGATTTTGTTTATAATTTCAAGAAACGCTATATTCAAATGACACTTTAATATGTACTATGTATAATGTTTACTTTAACCATTCCACACTTTTATCTTTGCCTTTTAGTACTGTTTAATAACATTTCTACTTTTTTATATATTTTTAAGTTTTTTAGCTCTTGTTTTTATTATCAAATCACTATTGTCGAAAAAATCAATAGAATATTTTTAAAATTCAAAGTCTTTTTGTATTTCCATGTAGGTATATCAATTTAAAAACCTCGACATTGTAGAATGAATCTTTTATTTCGGATCTATACTTTGTTTCTAACTCCGGATGAATCCATTGTTATATTTAGTCTTTCTATTTTTCCTTCAAAATTAATCTGTCAAAAGAAAAGTAGATTACAAAAAATGCCACGTAATTGTGTTTTGGAGACGGGGACATTTTTATTACAGAATGTAAGGATATTTTTGCTTTTATATTACATATTACAGTAAGAACATTCATTAGCAATCTTTACGGCATGAATACATAAAATAACTATCCCAAAAGTACAGATAAAATAATTTTAAATTATCTCAAAAGTTCTTAGGAAGCATAGCCATAAAATAAAGCACGTTACATAAATAAAAAAATATCATCGTTCTGCTACGTTTCGAATATTGATTCCGATGTAAAAGTGGGACAATGATTTCGTCGATTTAAAAATGAACGCACAGATTGCAATTGGTCTTAGCACGAGCTTTATAAAAGCCCTTATGTCGAAAATTTAAACACCACAACTTCTAAGTTATACCTTTTTTTAGGTATCTCATACCGTAAAACTCTTCAAGTCTAGAAGTATTGCCAAATAAACAAATAATTTCATGCTATTAATATTCTCGATCCTCATATTAAATTTAATATAATAGTTGAAATAAAATAAGGTATTTTAAGATACTCGCCTTCTACTTTTTATTTATCACTTGTTATTAAAACATTTATTTGACATATCATTGAAAGAAACTGTTTACAACGGTATCTGTCATTCATGTCATTTTATATATAATAAATCATCTTATGCAGCTCATGACGTTTATCATAAACATATTATTCTTCTCTCTATTCCATTCTTACTATACTCAATTTCTTCTTAACTTCCTGCTGTCGTCCCACCTTAATCTACCATTAACTTCTAAGATTATCGAATTCACAAATAGTAATTCTTCCATTGCTTTCTGTCAATAATCTTCTTGATCAGATGCAATCAGGTTTTTTTCCAACATAACACAGTATCAGGTTACAGTTTGGAATTGAAGGTAACAGAAGATAAGAAATTTTGTGTGGAACACCACATAATAACTATTATTATATCGAATAACTTAAATAATGTTTTCATCACTGTACTCCAATATATTTATAAAGATTTAAATTTTTGTTATAATTGTCATGCCAGAAAACTTCGTTCTTTGAGCCAATTATTATGAAAATTCGTCGATATCGAACTGAATTTCATGACTCGTTTATTGTAACAGCTCTACAGGATCTGTTACGATTTACGGGAGTGCATACCACTCCGTCAATGTATACTTTCAAATATTACTTCAAGCATTTTTTTTTAAAGAAACATGATTGTTATACTTAATTTGTAGTCATTTAATCTAGCGTCATAGTTCCTTAATTTTGTTTACATGTCATCCTACATATTTTTTGTCATGATATTTTGTATAGTTTTTTACCACATGATTAGTTTTTTATTCTACATTCCCATTATAAAAGTTTTTATCCTCTTACATCGCCAAACATAGCTAGAAAATAATGCATCCTAGCATAAAGCTAGCCTTTCATGAATCATTTGTATATTATGGGTACGCGGAGAAAAAAAAACATAATAAATAAAACATACAGTAAATAGAGCTTGGTAAAATTCTCATATAAATAGTCATTAACATTATTCAAATAGGATTATAAAAGATTTAAATATAAAGATAATAATCATTTTACTTTAAACTAGGAACTTTAAGTAATTTTAATAATAAATTCTTCATATAGTGTTTGTCTATTCCAAAGCCTTTGCTCTGGGATAGACCTGGAATCTTTTAAATCTTAAGCATCTGAGACTTTTAAAGTAAATCTTTTAGCATTATTCTTACATAAAAAATAACAATTACTTATTTAATTGAACCCTTTACTATTTCTCTTTTAATAAAACATACTATTATTACTTTAGTCTCAATCTTTCAACTTCAAGTAGCCCGTATTGCTCTGCTAAGAACAAACAGATCGTAAAGAACCTGAAGTTTTTATCAAAGATGCGCTAGAATCTTTTCTGCAAATGAGCACTTATTTACTTCTTTAATATAAAAGATCATTGGAACTATTTTAAAAGATTCACAAATAATAAAAGATTTGCAAAGAAAACATTTCGATTTATAAATTAATCACTATTATTGATGTTTTTCCCCTGTATATTCAATTTTAAACTTGTAATGCTTGAAATGTTTGATAACTTCAAACGCCGAAAAACTAACAAAGGATTTCATTTCGTACTATTTCCTTTAACATTTTAACAAAACGTTGTATGCAAAGTGTTTAATATTTTGTGCGAAGGCAAACATCGCTAACTCACACACGTACATTGGTTTATATGAAGGCATAAATTTGTCGAAAATCCGTCAAAATACCTCCACAATATCTTTTAAATTTTACATTTAAATTGTTTTTCGTATACATTCTCCTTAATTTTTATTTTATGTTGACAAAAGTCTATAAATATGCAACATTGCAATGAATAAAAGAAAATGATTAAATAGACAGACAGAAGTAAATAAACAACTAGTTACATTTTGTACATCAAACATTTAATTTCAATATATTTTCAAACATTTGATGTCGTAATAATTTTGAAGAAACCACTTTCTACAAACAAATATAACTTACAAGATTGAAATTTCAGCGTAATAAATATAGCATAGGTAGTGAAGTCAAAGGCAAATATATTATAAAACATGCATGGAATATTTTAAAGCACAGAACTCAAAATGTTTGCGGTTGTATTCGTTAGTTTCACGCTTTGTTTGTCGTATTGGAAACGCTTTGGTTTTATTGCGAAGTATATAAGCTGTGAATACTTGGAAACTTTAGCTATCTTTGTTCTAGCAAGTTGTACGATACAAGTGTGGATAGAAAATCATGTATACGTACTTGTATACCTTAAATATATATTGTAAATCAAACTTCACAGTCTCGTCTGATTTTATGACTGTATAATGTATGTGTGTTTTAAAAACTTATTTGAGTTTATAAAACTAATTGTCATTTACTTTCTCCTAATGGTTTACTTAATAAGGGATGTTTGAATGTATAACATTGTCTAAGTATTTGTAAAAATTAGCCGCAAATATACTGAAAAAAAATATAGTTTTCCAGCCAAATAAGTAGCAGACTATGCTTGTTGTGTATAACCTTTATAAGTACAAACAAATTCAATACCTGTAAAGCATTATGGTCGCCAGTGCATCTTAAAGTATGAGGTAAATCGCAGGAGCATTCAGCTAAAGGACGGGAGCTTATTTCTGGGCAATGCCAATCTGACAGCACGCTTGACACACACAGTATTGACAGCGCCCCTGTTAGCCACATTCTGTAACAAAAGAAACTCATGACAATACTAACAGAATATTATGAAGATCAAAAAAGTGTTTTTAACATAATTAGAACGATTAATAAATAAAAATTATAACATTACCAAAGCATTCCGTGATTACAATGTGAATGATACCGTAGCATAAAAGATAAAAGCAAATATATATATTGCTAAAATTACCATTAATTTTCTTTAAGACAACTGTCCCTTCTGTTTCCGTTGTAGTAAATATATGTTGAACGTTATAATGTTCAAAAAGCAATTTGTAAAGTACTTGTAAGAATTGCCGTTGCAGTGCGTGTGGCTGTGACGTAATGGTCTATTTCCACTAACTGACGACCGGATACTTTGACATATATAAGTTAGAAGCTGAAGCGATTTGGCTACCGTACATATTGTAAATCAAATAAATCGTTAAAAGAATATTAATGTAATCAATTTTATTATTTCTCTTATTAGAAGGTTTAAAACGTCTCGAGAAAACAAAGCGTTGTTGATTATTAATATATCGATTTAACTTACGTCCAGCTAAAGAAAACTGATTGCGAACAACAATCTTTATAACTTTTTATGTGTAGATTTAGAAATCATATGATATATTGTGAAAGGCTGATAAAAGGGCAAATTATTTGACCTTACGATATTTTTGTGATTTACTTTGAAGAATTCTTTTAAGTTTTTACATATGTAAATAGTAAGCACCCTTTATTTTGAAGACGCTTACATTTCTCTATATTTAATTAACGGAAGAATATACTTAATTACACAACACAGTATCTCACCTTTTTCATTTAAATTTTTCCATAAAAAACAATTAACCAATCTCCTTACTTAATTCATAAATTTATTTTGGGGTGGGCACACTAATCTCAGGATTTGGGAATACCACAAATTACGTTACTTTTCTTAAAATAATAAATTACTTAGACAAGTCTTAACCTGAAATCGTTATATTTTCAAAAAATATTTATATCATAATCATTATAAATTAAAACTTTTACTTTACTATGTTGTTTACATTTCTCTTTAATAGAAAATATTTATTTTGTTTCATACATTTAATATAAAATAATGAGATTTATTTTAAATCTAGCCGCCTTGAGAACTAAAGTTTAAACTGTGATAGAATGATGGTCGGCCATTGGCCTAGTACTGAGATTTCCATCTCACAAGTGATTGATTCAATTGATAGTGCCTTGAACAACGTCGATTTTGAGATATGCATTAGGTACTATATAAAGTAGCATAAAATCCTCATTCAATTATTAGATAAGCAAAGAATAAAAAATTGAGAATTTCTTATATAAAATTCTCATTTTCTTTAGCTATAAGAAAATTTATTGGCTAATAAAATATAAGTTATTAAAACGATTTCGTCGAAGACAGTTTCTTAATTCTAATTTGAACTGGGAATTAATTTTTATGCTTCAAAGAAATTGGCCTCGGCTAATTCCAATAACTAATTTCAAATAGATGTATAAGGTAAAATTTCATCCCATTTACCTTAATTGCAATAATTAGACTGCCCTCTGATTCATTTACGTGAGTTTCAATTTAGCTGAAAAAAGTTATTTAATGTATATTATTACTGTTTAATTATGTACAATATATATGTATTAAATAGTCAGAAACTGAACATAAAAAAAAATATTATTTACTATCTATACAAGGAGATACACCCAAAAATATGTAATCCAAAAATAGTAAAAATATGTGTGACAGTTAACTGACACGTACTTTTTATAACCACAAAATAACTAAATATTTCTTTCTTTATTTGTATTGCATTGTTTTGGATAACGCATATGCTTTTATTTGAATAAATATTTTTGTACTTATTCTAAATTATCTAACTGAGATGAAATATAAATCAGTGTTATGATTTTAATATGTCTATACTTAAGATTAATATTCAAAAAACAGTGAATATTTCTTTCAAAAATTTTCTACGGATAGTTTAATTGTATTTCGGACTCGTTATTTAAAAGCCTTGGAAAAATAACAATAAAAAAACTTTTGATTTGGATACTTTGTTTGTCTGATCCGTATTTTATGTACGTGTATAAATATATATAAAAACGATTCAACAATAGTAAGGCGTGGAGCGTTTACAATTTATAGGCTATTGCATTATAAGGGGGAGAAATTATCTTAATGGTCTCAACTACTTAAGTAGAAGTGTGTAGCGAGAGCACGTAATAGTATTTTGGAGTTTCACAAAATAAATAATGTTGTATATAAATAAATGATAAATATATAAGATCTTAGGTAGGTAGGTATAGGATGAAACTACTGTCAAACATTACCCGGATATTACCTTTTACTTGATTTTTAGTTCCCTAACGAGTGACAGGATTTTCGGGACTAAACTGACTATGAATATGTACATATGTATGTTTATCCTGCACTTGAACAACATAAATATCAAACAAATGGATGCGATAGTTTTCTGTATTTACACTTCAAAATTCCACACAAACAAACCTGTAAATTTACAATCAATGCATACATAAATATACAAATACCTATTAAATTTTGTTGGTAACTAAAACAAAATTACATTTGATCAATTGGATTTCAAATGGTTAAAATATTCATATTGTGTAGAGGTTAAATTTTTAAAGGACAGTTTAGAATAAATTGCGCACATTTTTACACCATTTTTATTAAGTAAATACGAATATCATAACAGAAGAATTTAATCATCTATTAACTTTGAATTCTAAATCCACTTAGGTCTTATTGCAATCTGATTAATAGCTGTAATGTAGTTGGAAAAAAACTTTTAATAATGTTGATATACAGTAAATATTTGTAATCTCGATTAAAATGACCCATGAGAGGGCATAACTAAAAGTGATACGGGCTTACACTTAAGCCTCTGTTGAAGGACTGCGTATTAACTTTAAACCACTAGAATAATTCCCTACCGCGTACAGTGTACAGATAAATACTTCTTATTACAATTTTGTGTCCTTCACACAGTCACAGTCTACGACATTAGGATTTCACATAAAAACCTTATTCGGAATAAAATACATTTATTTTAGGTGCCCAAAACAAGTATTTTGTTAGTCGGTTTCAATTCGGCTAGTGTCAAAAATAAACTTTTTATTTATAAAATATGTATAATATTGTAACTGTAAACAAACCTTTCAACTTAACAAAACTTAAAACTTTCCTTCGTTAACTGAGTCTGTAATTAAACTTTCGAGAAACCAAAGTAATTTAAAGTTAAGTCAAAATTTATAAGTTTTATAATCATTATTTATAACTAAAAATACACGGTTACATTTCACAGTATATTTTTTCATACCTTTTTTAGCTAACTACACGGGAGCATTAGAGTGTGAAACAAGATAAATCTTGCCCGATCTTCCCATAGAAACAATAGTCTGGAACGAGGAAACGAGTCTCCTAACGCCGTTTAAAAAACTACTGGTCTTTACGTTCAAATCGCTGCCATAAATGATCCTAGTCCAGAGGGTTAGGTGATAGCGAACGGCTAGTATTTTTCTGTCTCGAATGTTCTTAAACAGCCATTTTGTATTCAATTTAAAATTGAGGTCTTGTATTTGTTGTAATTTATATAAAAGAAATTTTCATTTATATACTTTTGTTAAAGCATAATTAACGATTGATTACTTTTATATTTACAAAAGAATTATGACGATAAAGAATAAAAGAAAAAGATTTGACTGATTATACTAAAAGTTAAAGAAGATAGAACTTGTCCTTAATGCGTATGGGAAATTGCGTGCATTTGTAATTGGTAATTGCGTACGTCCCCGTACTGTCAATTGTGAACGCACCAGTTGCATCTCCATCTCTCCAACGGCCTATACAAGGTACAAAAACTTAAATAAATATAAATATTTTATTTTCCTTCTTCATTATTTAGATACAAAAATATTTTTCCTAATTGTCTTACTCCCAATTCGGTTGGGAGTTTGATGTTCCACTTACAATAAAATAATTTTGCGATGTTACAAAGGAGCTTGGAAATCTTATAACTCGATTATTTCTAACATCAATTTTAAGTGAAATAATCCAAATGGAATTTTATTCCACAATTTCAGAATGTCAGTATTCATTTAGATAATATAATAACGTCAATGTAAAAAAGTGAAACATTTTGTTCTACTTTTAGGGAAAAATATTGGAAACACTCGTAAAACTTACTAACCATACCATTTGTCCCTTTTAATATTATTTTTTTAATTTTATTTCTGGGACATTATAATGAATATTTTTCCTGTTTCCATCCTAAGTTTTTTGAAAATTTCCGAAAACCTGAAATTAATTTGGATATCTCATTTTTAAATCTAGCAGGTAAAGGAATAAGCAATTTGTGACTGAAGGATCCAAAACATTCAAAATGCGCCTCCAACTAACTCTACTATGGCTGTCTTTATCCCTGATCCGCAACTCTCAAGGTCACGCAAGAACTTTCACCAGGTGTCAACTATCCCGGGAACTTTTGCGGTACAACTTCCCAAGAACTTTGATTCCTAATTGTGAGTAATTTACGGTAACTATCAGAATAGTTTATTGAGCTATGAAAGAATGTAATCTCTATGAACAAAGTCCATCCTAATATTAATCAACGTCCCAGCAATTTATTATATGAACATAATTATACTTAGTAAGAAGAATCTATGAAAAATTCCTTAAGTCAGACGGATTTAATCATGAGGAAAATAGGTAAAGGTAAAGTAACCAATTTTCCTCAACAGACCAAGCTATGGGTGGCTTCAGATGTTTCAGGAAAAAAATGAAGTAGTTAAAGTGAAATGGGATTTGATCCTAACGCCGGATGAACTGAATTTAAATTTTTCAAAGGATTTACTCTCATTAAAAATTGTAAACCTTTAAAAGTAAATATTAATATTTAAACTAACTCTTGGTCTAAGGTCGTTAGAACTTCGTAATTGTTTAAGCGATTTCTATCGTTTTTGGATTCATCAACAAATTATAATTACTTTCATCTTACAGCTAACAATGTAAGACGAACATCACAAATTCAAATTACACAAGATAAATGAACGCTAAACATAAATTTAGATTAATTTATAATAACAGAGATATGCCATCTCAAGCTGTGAAATAGATGCATTATATGTAGTACGAAGAGTTAATCAGTAGAATGTGTCTTATATGAAATCTCCAGGGGTACACGACGTATACTGAAATTGTATCACATCATATGTACGCTGTCATATTAAAGTATATTGGCATTTACTAACACAGACAATCTCTCAACTGTTATAATAAAAGCTACGTATATGGCAATACGAAACATTTTAATATATGCAACACTCAGATGATTGAATTAATATTCGATCCGAAGTAATTTTCCTTAAAAATATATATTTTTTGAATGAATTTCAGTAAACTTTGGTAGAATAAAAAACAAAGATTTAACTCAATCAAAGTAAAATGAATAGAATTTGTATGCAAAAAGTTAATTAGTTCAACGATTTATCCTCTAGCTTGGGATTTAAAATTATTCTAAGCGTATGCTACGAGTTCGGATAAGAACAAACAAAAATATATACCTGAAGAATTTAAGGACTTAAAATTAAGCAGAAACTATTCTAAACCTTTAAATTTGGATAACCTGTTGTTAAAGCTTTATTAATATCATTATGTTAATATTTTGAAGTTTCTGTAGACCAATGCCGACTATGGACGTGTTCACTCCTCCATATATCAAAATTAATGACGCTAGAAACGCAATAGAGAAACCAAATGTACTGTAAGATGGTTCGGATACAGACATTTATATAGTCGAAGAGTTAGCGAAGGAGAATTAATTAGTAATATGCGTTGTTTGCCCTCAATAACTTCGTAGTAGAGCTAAGTTTCACTTTATTATTGTTGCTTTACTTATTTCTTCCAGTATATGCTTCTTACTGTGAACTCATCTTATTGTATATCGTGACTTACTTTTGTCCCACATTTTCTTGTTGTGTCGCTATGACATAACATACACCTATAGAGGTAAAAGTAATAAATATCGGAGGTAGGATGACATCATTGTTTGTGTGATGTGTTGTGATATTTTTGACCCAAAAAGTATGTTTGAAATATATAAAGTAAAATTTGTTTTATTATTTATTATTATAAGTTACGATAAGTTGATTAAGAATCCATTTGGTCTATTCTCACAGTTATCATGGAATATGATAAAACTGAAAGCGTCACCTTTGATTTAGGTCTGTATCAATTTGAATTTATTCGGATTAAGTCCCTTTAGAGCTCCAATTAAACCCGTGCTAACAAATTTAACTTAAATGAAAGATGCCCAAATGTTTTGTCATTTGAATCATGCCCCCTTTTTATGCAAATTGAAGATCTCTAAGTTCAACGCGGTTGCTTATTAAGGTCGCCACCAATTCATTCGGTTTCCGTTGACTTAATTTTATTATAAGAATTAGGTATTTTAAAGTAGCTTAAATTTAATTTGTCTCTTACAAAGCCAAGGATCTTTTTAACAGATTTATATTAAGCTATTCAAAAAGTATTTTTGTTCGGATAACTTAAAGATAATTTTTTATTGATTTAAAATCTTTTAGTTATAATTTTAAGATGTACTGGTTGTTTGTATTACACATTAAGAGGTTTGTACATTAATAAACATCAACATTAATAATAAACATATATTAATAGCTCATATAAATTTAGAGTGCTTTTACGGGCAGACGAGATCATGGTTGCTGAAAAGTAACAAAGACGTCGGGAGTATGTAATTTTTTCACAAAAATAAACCGCGTAGTATATCTATCCAAAAAATATTTGTTTCATTTAAATTAACAAAACTAGAAAAAGTCTTAGATCTCATTAATCTTTGTGTACAGTTTGTATCTATATCAATTATATTTATACGTTTTTTTGTTATATTGAGTAAAATGTAAGAATAATTATGATTCTTCTAGGGGTATGCCTGATAGAGCACGCCAGTGGGAGGACAACAGACAAAGTTACCAATCACAATAATTCTTATACGAGCTTCGGATTATTTCAGGTGAGTTAATAAATGTTCATGATTACTATCAGCGTTTTATGTTACGTGTATTTTCTATTTTTTTACTATTCCCACACAAATTTCATTCGAATAACATGTGAGAGGTAGAACGGTTTAAAAGCTTTCAAAAAATATTTCTGGAAATCTCTTTCAAAAGTCGGCAAAATTTTAATCTTTTTATTATTATTATTATTTTATTTAAAGGTGGATATTTCATAGTTTTTTTAATCTTTCCAAGGTGTTTATTTATTTATAAAACGATTTCAATTTATTAATAAATAATATAATGATATTAATAGATATAAATAATTAATTTTAACGCCGGCATGACTTTCATCAGACAAAGATAACGCTAAAATAACGAATGTAAATAGTGTTAGTATAATAATCTATACATATACATATATAAGTGAATTAAATCAGAATTTCTGTTTGCAATGTTAAAATAATATCTATACTAAATTCAGATGTCCATTTATGTGGTACCAAAAATTGTTTATAAATTTGGCGGTTCTTATGTATACATAACGTTCAATGACACACATTATGTAATGTAATAAGGAGTAACTTAGCCCACTTTTAATAAAAAAAACTATAATAATTACTAAAATGCTAAGTATAAGGTTGAATGAGAGTGTGGAATGTAATATATTGAAATATGAAATGATTTCATATTTCAAATGGAAATAAAATAAAAGAGTTGGTACGATTTTTATATTTGACTGGAACCATGGCTATGAAAAATGAGATTCACAACAAAGAAATTCTCAACAAAAATATACAAAATAATATTAAATAGCATGTGACATAATTTCAAATACTGTGATATAAAGTAATAATTTAATTCTGTCCAAGCAATTTTAGTATAAATCAACAGCGACCAAGATGTTCACACAAATTCTTAGCTCAAGTTTCTCTTCTAAAGTTATGTAATGCTAAAACTATTTTCATAGGCTTCACCAAGCATACGTACAAGAAAATACCCTCATCAAGCATAGTTTATGGAATAAACGTGTTTTACTACGTTCTTCCATGTAATTGCATTTTCATGTATATGAAATAGATATAGAGAGAGATATGGAGATAAAGAGATATAGAAATAAAGACATAACATGCATTCAACCAATAATAGATAGAAAATTATAACATATTATTTTTTATAAAACATTCAACAACAATTTTACCAACGGATTTTGTTTCTTAAACGAGTGACATAAAAAACCTACATTTTAATAAAATTCATGCTATAAATTTTGGAATGAAATATGTAGCAACATTCATTTTTTGTTGTATTGTGTAAGATAAATACTAAATCCAACAGCCCAATATTGAACATGGGATATATTTTACTAGCTAAAAAATTTAATCAGAACCTACAATATGTCTTCATTCAGATCATTACTATCTCATTTTTAAAGAAATATATTGAAACAAAATAACCTCTCTATTTGTAAAATATTATGAAGTTTAAATTTTTATTTATCGATATAGAAAGAGCATATTTTTGGTACTTATATAAGTAGAAGAAGACATATATCCATATGTCTTCTTCTACCTGGCACTTTCCCGGCTATAGCCAGGGTCTGCCTTACATGTTGTGAATAGTTTTGGCTAATTGTTTTTTACGACCGGCCGCCTGCCTGACATCAACCCTCTTTTGGGAATCAGCATTCATCAGTGATGTCTTAATATTCTTAGAAAGTAGATATGATTCGGAAAAATCACATTGGTACTTGCCCGGGCCAGGATCGAACTTGCCCCCTCAGCAACGAGAGGCGGGCCCTCTAACCATGAGGCCACCACTGACTACTTATATATATATGTATTTCGGTGATAAAAAAGTATTCTATTTTAAATTAAGCAACTAATATTGATAATAGTCACTTAAGTTCGAAAGCTACAGATATAAAATGTAAATAGTATGTGCCATAAGGATTTTTGCAATTGAGATTTAAGGGAAATAATTCGTCATACACTCGATGTTAAGGACACTATTTTAAACTAATCTGCTGTGATAGAAATTACAACCCGAACATATATGAAAATGCAGTCGATTTAAACCCGAACATGTGATTTTAGATTTAAACTTTTTATTATATTTATTTTGTTCTTACAGTAAAAACTTCCATTATGTAAGTTAGCAAGACAATACGTTATAACAATGAATCTGCATACGCGAATTATTGATGGTTTAGACATCACTGATTGCGTATTATGAAACGATCAAACAACTGTGGCTTTAAATTAGCAAACTATGTTACAAATAAGCGCATTATGCATATTGAATGGTTAAAACAAATTAGTTTATATGACAGTTCATATTTATATAAGAAAATAATATTAAAAGGACTTACCGCAATGTGGGTAAAGTTTAAATAAATAATATTTAGAGTATTATATTATCAAAAGAATTTGTTCCACCCAAATTGTATGAGATTTAAATTTACTTAATCCAACGATAAATAGGATAGACGAAGCTCGCTGATAGTTTTCGATTATTTGAACGAAGCGACAACCTTGGTTCGGTGGGCGACACGAGTGTGATTGAAAATAAGAAATTTATCAAGCTCACAATTAAACATTTCTCCTCACAACCTTTCTCTATCATAAATATATCGTTAAATAATCGTCGCAAAAACGTTAATTTATCGAATTAAATATTTAATGGAAGACATGGAAGGGAAAAGCATTGTCAAGGAATTCGAACTTATCTCCTAGAGAATATTGCATACCAGTTACTTTACCAAAGAAGCTGTCATACGCTGATTTAAATTGAGGAATTAAGCATTCGGTAAACTATAAATTTAACCATTAAGTAGAGAGTTGTATTAGGCGTTCTCATGAAATTCCTAAACAATATCAATCTTTGGTATTTAATATTGTTACAAAGCCCAAGTGGATTGATAATTCTTATAATGCTATCATAGACAAGAAAGAATATAGTATATTATATAATAATATTCTATAATTTACTGACATATCATTAACAAGTATATCTGCATAAGTTAGTTCATTTATAAAACGTCACCCTGTCATAACTTTGATCATTTGCTGCGGAGATCTATCATACAAATAACTGTTACGTCACAACACTATCGCAGTCGTATTAAAATGTCATTAACATATTGCCCGTGGTGCACCGTTTAGACGGTATCGTAACTCGAACGTGTAAAATATACATGCAAGTCGACTTGCTCATTTCAAACTGTTAAAACTTTAACTGAATCTTCCTTTGACGATTTTTGGAACACAATTATGAAAACTGTAAATCATCTCAAGACAACACTCATATAAAAAAACTTAGAACAACAATTCAAACAATATTTTCAAAGTCGTAAAATATGTTAAATTCAAATTAAACCCATATATTCTCTATATTTAGCATGCAGTAAGCATTGGAACTAAAGAAATCAATATGTCACGGAGAATAAATTAAGAAAAGCCCTTGAAACACCGTTTAAGTTATTAAAAACAATATTTGTATAATAGAAGAAATTTTAAATAATTCAATTGGAATTCTCCAGATATCTCAATAGTATTTGCTGAAAATTGTCATAATTAAATTCGGGGTTCGTCGTTTCAAATATCAACATTGTCCCATTTAGAACGTTATATTTGCTAATACAGTTACAAGATTGTACAAAGCATATCTGAATACAAGCTTTGATTAGTTTAATTTATAGATTCTAGCGTTACTAAACGTAGAATCACAAGCAAATAACCGTTTCATCGCAGAAATGTTGCTTTCATAAATAATACGATAGCTAGAATTCTATGAAAGTCTAGTAAGGTGTCTTGTATACTAATAAATATACATTTTCGTTTAAACTTCGATATAATATTTTTGGTATAATTTGTAACCCGAAATTCGAAAAAAATTATAACATATTATTTTTTATAAAACATTCAACAACAATTTTACCAACGGATTTTGTTTCTTAAACGAGTGACATAAAAAACCTACATTTTAATAAAATTCATGCTATAAATTTTGGAATGAAATATGTAGCAACATTCATTTTTTGTTGTATTGTGTAAGATAAATACTAAATCCAACAGCCCAATATTGAACATGGGATATATTTTACTAGCTAAAAAATTTAATCAGAACCTACAATATGTCTTCATTCAGATCATTACTATCTCATTTTTAAAGAAATATATTGAAACAAAATAACCTCTCTATTTGTAAAATATTATGAAGTTTAAATTTTTATTTATCGATATAGAAAGAGCATATTTTTGGTACTTATATAAGTAGAAGAAGACATATATCCATATGTCTTCTTCTACCTGGCACTTTCCCGGCTATAGCCAGGGTCTGCCTTACATGTTGTGAATAGTTTTGGCTAATTGTTTTTTACGACCGGCCGCCTGCCTGACATCAACCCTCTTTTGGGAATCAGCATTCATCAGTGATGTCTTAATATTCTTAGAAAGTAGATATGATTCGGAAAAATCACATTGGTACTTGCCCGGGCCAGGATCGAACTTGCCCCCTCAGCAACGAGAGGCGGGCCCTCTAACCATGAGGCCACCACTGACTACTTATATATATATGTATTTCGGTGATAAAAAAGTATTCTATTTTAAATTAAGCAACTAATATTGATAATAGTCACTTAAGTTCGAAAGCTACAGATATAAAATGTAAATAGTATGTGCCATAAGGATTTTTGCAATTGAGATTTAAGGGAAATAATTCGTCATACACTCGATGTTAAGGACACTATTTTAAACTAATCTGCTGTGATAGAAATTACAACCCGAACATATATGAAAATGCAGTCGATTTAAACCCGAACATGTGATTTTAGATTTAAACTTTTTATTATATTTATTTTGTTCTTACAGTAAAAACTTCCATTATGTAAGTTAGCAAGACAATACGTTATAACAATGAATCTGCATACGCGAATTATTGATGGTTTAGACATCACTGATTGCGTATTATGAAACGATCAAACAACTGTGGCTTTAAATTAGCAAACTATGTTACA